CTTTAAAGCCACGTGCTTTGGCTCGTATAGTTGGCTTTTCATTTTCCTTTTTCTCTATGGCTGCCAGTGTGAGCACTGTTTCAATGAAGAGGCTGTCCTTTGGTTTTCCAAAATGTCCAAACACTTTTTTGACGGCATCGTGCTTGGCCCTCCATCGTCTTTCACCAATTGGGCAGAGGCGTCTGTGGTTTTTGTCCTGTTTTTGGTTTTCCCAAATACATTTATATTTTCCCAAATATATTTACTCTTTTATAACACTCCACTTTCGATGACAGTTTGAGTTGTATCAGCCAGCACAAGGTTAAGCACATGACCATAGCATCACACATGCACATAAGTGGGAGACTGGGAGGTCATCAGTGCTGAAAAACCTTTGTACTGGCCCTGCATATTGGATGCCCCATCTGATGCATTTCCTATGCACATGTCCTTGTTTAGTTTTGGCCTCTCTAAGACTTCTGAGAGCAGGTCTACAAAGTACTGGCCAGTAGATGCCTGACATTTCACTACAGCAAGAAGTCTTTCATGTACAGTCTCAGTTACAAACCGTAAGAGGTGTGTGTAGGGTCTAGCTGAACGGAAAACATACCAGCTTTCTGAACATCTTCAGTAATACACTCCTGAATAAGGTGACCAATGGTATCTATTTTGGAGTTGACTATGGTTTTGGAGAGTAGGGTGATAAGTGACCCTCTACCACTTGTTCCACTGGACTGGTGTAACTTCCTACTCTTTTCTACGCAATCATCAAGATGCTCTTTTAAGCAGACATCAAATTTTCCTAATAAAAGAATAAGTTCCAAAAAGTTCCTGTGATCTAAGGTTTTGTCTATGAGTGTATATGCTGCCTCATTCTTCATATGCCTATAGCTCAGCCCTCTCTTCCCAAGCACTTTCACCACATCCACAACACGCTCCAGTACCTGGCATCTCTTTCTCACTTGATCCCTATGTGCAGACATCTGTTTACTAGCAAAGACGCTGCTAATATCTGCATTTGAGCATCTTAGGAAAAAAGCTTCTGCACATGTATGGTGTGCAATGCTTTTTTCATGCTTCTCTACGTGCTGGTGAACATGTCTCCAATCTGACATTCCGGTAATGAAAGTACTGTTTTTTTCAGTCTTCCCAAATGCCATACAAACAAAACAAAACAATGCATGACGTTTCTCACAATATGTGAGTGAAGGATTCGGATATCTGCTTTCCAATCCGTCTCATCATGGACCAACGTTTATCTTTTTCATCATCCTGTTTCTCAGTATTTAACTGTGAATTGATTTTAATTAATGAATAAGTTAAACACACTGCTTAATATAAGAATGTTCAGTGCATTTGCCTGTCTCTTTATAACTATTTTCAGAAGCCACCAATCTAAGTCAGAGGTCACAGAGACCTTGAGTGGAACTGAAGGCTGAGGACTGGAAACAACTGTTTCTATTGTTATTTCTAGTAGTTAATACTATCTAAAATGTCTAAAGTGAATTTGTTATTTTGATGGTGAATTCTTTTAAAGTGATTCTACTTTTATTCAAGATAGACTTTGTATAGTAAGAATATAACTGCCTGAATGTAGATTATACCGGTTTATAACCAGTTTTGATAAAGACGGCTGAGAGTACACTCAGCCTTGGATAAGAAACAGATTATACTTTAAGTGTGTGTGTTCTATTTGATTGTTGATCCATTTCACAGGTCTGGGGTCAGCTCTAATCAGTCTAAAGGATGTCTGACGTTTATGTTTAGATATTGCTCAGAAATGTATGCACGAACCCCACGTGGAAATTTTCCTAGTTTATCTGTGTTTTAACCAATCAGGTTAGAACACCTGTATGTATGACGCAGTTAATGACGTTATGTGAGAGTATAATTGTTATTGATTGGTGATTGTAAGCAGAGCAGCCTAGGAACTCATTGCGAGTGTTGAAGCTGGCTTCTGCGAATGAAACTGCAAACTATCTTCAGTAAACTTAATTTATTTATTTAAATCTCTGACTCCGGCTCTTCTTCATCTCCCAGACTGGTCATTCTTTGGGTTAAACTGTAAACTATCCCTACTGTTTTGGTGGAGGATGCGGGCACTTGTTTACTGGTAACACCATTGATCAATCAACAAAATGAAGGTAGGAAGATCTAAAAATTATAGACTAGGGATTGTCTGTGAAGTAGTGGGTAGTAACGGAACGCTGTTGGTTTCTCATTCAGACGTGAATGAAAGTGTTGGTTTCTCATTTAGACGTAAATGAAAGTGATGGTTTCTCATTCAGACGTGAATGAAAGTGTTGGTTTCTCATTCAGACGTGAATGAAAGGCGCCGGTGGATTCACAGAAATTTTTGGTAGATTTGTGTGGAATCCCTTAGCGAGCTGGTGCATTTTTGCGGTACACCTATAGTGATAAGTTATAAGTGTAACAGTAGTTGAGGGGTGTACCTCGTCCTTCACCCAGAGTTAAAATACTCAGTTGATGGGTGTGTTTTAAGACATTCTCGGGGATAAAACTTGGACTGGTTTTTATTTAGTAGTGGACTAAATTAACCCGAGATTGTAATTAGTTCCACCACTGCTATCTAACTACATCACAGACAAAAGGCATGCCATAAGAATAGTGTAGGTCAGATTATTAGGGAAAGAAATAGTTGAATAAAAATAACATATAACATTATAATAGAGATCCATTAGATAGTAGTGGCCACAAAAGTCATCAGGGTGAGGTCGATTGATCAATGATGCACCAGGAGCAATCCCAAAAAAAGTTATGACCCTAACTGGATTGGACCGGTCTGGACAGTTTGCACATCTTGGGATGGTTTGCACCATCACATACAGGGCCTGATGGCTATACTGAGGTAGTAGACCCTGACACTGAATGGATCAGGGTGATATCTAAACTCCCTGAATAATCTCAGCTTGATATTCAGTTGATTTAAGTGTTTGATTAACCTGTCTCAATGTTTAAATTCCAGTAGGTATGGCTACGGCTTATGTCAATGGCTTTCATGGTTCTTGACTGCACTTTCCCAAGTTTGCAGAAAATTCTGAATCAAGGAGGAAGCCTGCACAAGAGCTTGCAGTGTGAGTGGCAGTTGACCGGTGGGCACGAAGGGGGGTACCCTAAGACGGGTAAGATTTTCCCTTGGCGAAAGCGGAAAACAACCTAAGGCATGGGACCCCTCGTAAACCCCGGGGCATCTACCCGAAAAGAGGGATGTTTAATGTGAAAGATGGTGCTGGACTGGGGTGATGCTCTATCGGCCTAAAGCATCCTTAGAGGGGAACTGTTTGAAGTTACAGTAATCTGCCTCAGTGGCCCCGTCCAGACCTGATCACGAGAATCCTGCCTTTATTGAGGACATGTCTGTCCTTGTGACAAGCATCAACGGACTATGCCAGGGTATGATAACCTGAAGGAGATGATTGGTAAAAAGATAATGGCAATGGGCTTTCAAGAACCATTGGAGACAGTAAAGTTGCTTAAAATTTTACCAATATCAATGTGGTTGGCTGCTTTAACAGCACTGGATATTTTATATGTCTGAATTTTAAGAATGCAGAATTCCTGAATGTGAAGCTGAGATGATTTTTAACTGATGTGTCTGATTTTTCATAGTATTTTACTGATGCAGGTCCTTATTCAAGGTAAAGGACATTTTCGAGATGGTGCTGGCTAAAGATAAAAACTGGCTGTGAGATGGTTTGGATAACACAGCTGAATGGAACTAAGCAGTTAAGGTAAAATAATTACAAGAAATTCTCTTAGTCTTTAAATAGTTCCAACTGAGTTTTGAGAGATAAAAACTTTTGACATTTGGAACGTTGGTAAATGATTAAAGATTCTGAATTGTAATAATTTTAATGTTATAGTCTAAAACTATTGAAAATTCATGTGCATGAAACAGAGAGACAGAGACTGTTTGAGTGAAGCCATGAGTTGTGTTTTATTTCTGTTATCGACTTGCTTAGCAACAATATTAAGAAAACAAAATGCACCAGCTGATTGTCTCAGAAAAGACATTGATTATAAACAAGAAAACTTTGAAACCTGATAAAAGATCATGTAAATCTAGGTGAAACTGGAAAAAGAATTTTAAGAATAAATTCAAAAAGAGTTCAACACCTAAAGCAAACTTAGTTATGATTTGTCCTTGTATGAATATTGTCACTAACCTCTGGAATGAGTGTTATATCATTATCGATTGAATAAGCAAAATATCAAACATTGCAGAAGTCAATAATGCTGAGTGAATCTAATGAAAAGATGATACAGACCATGAGATGAGCTTTAAATGGATGGGTTATCCGGCTCTGTTTGCAATGGTTAATGATGACTTATTTTCCTGATTCTGTTTACTCTCGGGAAATAATAATAATTGTGAAAGGTTTTATTAATTTGAAGCTGTGAAATTGAAGACTGCCATCCATATTAGGTTACAAACACATGTTTAAATTCATTGAGAGTTCAATGGTTAATTACAGTTAACTCTTTGCTATCTGAATGTTAAAGGTAAATATTTAGAGTTGATGACATTTAAACAGTGACATTGGCTAAGACACTAACCGGCTAAGTCAAGAGGTGCTGTTTGTCAGATGTTTGTGAAACTGTTCTTCTCTTAGTCACCACCAGTGTTTTTACGGTAGGCACAACACATTTACAACCCCACCTACTGCAGTGTAGGAGTGTTGGTAAACAGTATAGCGTCACTCAGCCTTTTCAAAGATTATTCAGACAGAAACATCCTGTGCACATGAGAAAATGTTTTGCTGCATTCATGTCATGTGTTTGCGTCGAATGAGCAAAACTCTGTAGACACTAATCAGATCTGTATGGTTTCTCTCCAGAGTGAATCCTCTTTTGTGTTTTTAGATGTGTTAACCGATTAAACCTCTTGTCACAGTGTGAACACTTGTGCGGTCTCTCCATTGTGAATCATCTGGTGCAGTTTCAATTTTGGAGCTTTAATAAAAGTCTTCTCACACCCAAGCACATATACTATTTCACACCAGTATGGGTCTTCATGTGTTTATTAAGGTCTGATGATAGGGTAAAACTCTTCCCACACTGAGTGCAGGTGAATGGTTTCTCTCTGGTGTGGCTCGTCATGTGTAGATTAAGGGATGATGATTGGCCGAAACTCTTCCCACACTGACTGCATGTGAATGGTTTCTCTCCAGTGTGGATCCTCGTGTGTTGATTAAGGTGTGATAAGCAGTTAAAACTCTTCCCACACTGATTGCATGTGAATGGTTTCTCTCCAGTGTGGATCCTTGTGTGTTGATTAAGGTGTGATAAGCAGTTAAAACTCTTCCCACACGGAGTGCAAGTAAATGGTTTCTCTCCAGTGTGGATCCTCATGTGAATATTAAGTTTGCTTTTGCTTGACAAACTCTTTCCACACTGAGTGCAGGTGAATAGTTTCTCTCCAGTGTGGATCCTCATGTGTTGATTAAGGGATGATAATTGCCTGAAACTCTTTCCACATTGAGTGCATGTGAATGGTTTCTCTCCAGTGTGGATCCTCATGTGTTGATTAAGGGATGATGATTGCCTGAAAGTTTTCCCACATTGAGTGCAAGTAAATGGTTTCTCTCCAGTGTGGATCCTCATGTGAATCTTAAGTTTGCTTTTGCTTGACAAACTCTTTCCACACTGAGAGCAGGTGAAACAATTCTCGTATCTCCTTTTCAAACTACCATCAGTCTCTAAATGAGTTTGTTCCTCAATTTTGACATGATGTTCCTCCTCTTTACTCCCCTCATTCTCTTCAATTAGGTCTGAAATATACAAAATAACATTAATTTTCATTAAGTCTTAAAACTCTAAACAATGCAATACCTGGCTGCTGGGTATATAAAGATGTTACAAATTGTGCTAGAAAAGCTTGTAGGAGCAAAAACGGGGCCGGTGCGGGTGTAAATGGTGAGATAAGAGTGGCCGTTTCTACTGGAGTGGTGTACTGGCTGACTGAATATGTACAACTATGTGTGCTCCCGAGGCCGTGTTAATTGCATGGACCGGGCGGGAGAGTGAGGTAAATGTAATGATTTAAAGCATGTATGCGTGAGCTCTGTTAGAGAGGCTTACTATGGCAGTGGTAAAATGTAGCTATAAAGTTCAGCATAGTGTCTCTGTTGCTGCACACGTGCGAAGAGTGTCAGTATCATGAAATTATTAAAAGGTAACTATGCATCCACAGAGGCGTTTAAACTAGTGTGGCAGAACAGAGTATCAGAATAAAAATTTGGAAGTGTAACAAAGCTCAGGCAGAGCATCACTGCTGCGGCAGTGGTGCAGAGGGGAATGAAGCTCAGCTCAGCATCTCTGCGACTGCAGAGGTGCGATGAAAGTCAGTATTAGACACTCAGCGGAGCGTCTTTGTTGTGGAGAGGTGCATTGGAAGTCAATAATAAAAAGTAAAACTATGCTTTTGCAGAAGTGTTTTAACTGCTTTGGCAGTGATGGGGCTGTGTCAGTAGTGGTATGGATAAATGATAGTGGACATGAGCTCAGGCAGAGCGTCACTGCTGCAGCAGTGGTGCAGAGGGGAATGAAGCTCAGGGGAGTGTCTCTGCTGCAGAGGTGCAATGAAAGTCAATATTGGAAGGGAAATATGCCTCTGCAGAGACGTTTTAACTGCTGTGGCAGTGCTGGGGAGTGTATCAGTAGTGAATGGCTAAATGGAAGTGTATATGAGCTCAGCAGATCATCACTGCTGCAGCAGTGGTGTAGAGGGAAATGAAGCTCAGCTCATCATCTCTGCGACTGCAGAGGTGGGATGAAAGTCAGTATTAGAAGGAAAGAATGCCTCTGGAGAGATGTTTTAACCGCTGTGGCAGTGCTGGGGAGTGTGTCAGTTGCAAATTATTAAATCAAACTGTAAGCAGAGTGTCACTGTTTTGACTGTGTTACAGAGGGGGAATGAGGCTCAGCAGAGTGACTCTGCAGCTGCAGAGATGCATAGGTTGGCAGTATCAAGAATGTTATGTGTGCTATTACAGAAATGTTATGATGTTATAATTCTCGGCATATTAGACAACTGTGCTGACACATTCTGTGTTGACGTCGCGGCTCTGTTGCCAAGCTACAACAGTTGGCTCAGCAGAAGCGCATTAGTCATCAGACATCCATCCTCAATAAACTACACTACTGTTTGTAAAGGGTTTTTAAACCATAGAGTGGTCATTAGAATAGAAGTGAATAACTCATCACATTCTTATAAAGATATTTTATTTATTTAAAGTTATTATTTCATTGACGTGCATATAATAATGTGTGACATAATTACTAACTCATCTAAAATCTTAAAAATAATAAAAATACCTATTGTTTTATTCATGGCTAGAGCTTGATTAATTTGATTGACAAGGTAATGAGACTTTTATTTCGCCTGACTGAATGTGAGTTTATAGGCCTTTTTCACGGACGGTAGCGTGCACATCCGGTTGAGCGGTAGTTGCGTATCCTTACTTCCGGCCGGAGCAATAGCATCAGATACGCTATAGTCTTAACTACCTCTTTGAAAACTTTGCCAACATTTACCATTTACAACGGCTCATTTACACGCTCTGAACGTAATAAAGGATATACGTTTTTCCACAAAAATTGCGTTTTTATGTACAAAGGTGGGTGACGGTCCATACGTCAGCATGGTTTAGGAAAGACTGTTTACATTTGTGTGAAATGTTTCTTTATCATAGCGCATGCTCTTGGTTTTAAACCGTTAAGAGGTATAAGGGAGCTAACGTATATATTTATAATTGTTTAAATACATATGCGATGTAATAAATATTGATGAGAGGGAACCTGGACCTTTACTATATCTGTATGTACATGGATGAGTATCTGAAGGGAGGGCAACAAGCTTTATTTGACTCATGCACTGTGTAAATGTATAACATGTTAATTCTGCTAAAATAAGTCAGTCTGGAATTGTTTGTAGGCTATATGCTTTTATTCAGTATATTGTTTTCAAGATTCTTATCCTACATTACATAATATACATTTGTTGACATCCATACCTGAACATGTATGTATGTGTGTGTGTGTGTGTGTGTGTGTGTGTGTGTGTGTGTGTGTGTGTACAGTTTAAGTCAGAATTATTAGCCGCCTGTTTATTTTTTCCTCAATATCTGTTTAACGGAGATTTTTTTTCCATCACATTTCTAATTGCAATAGTTTTAATAACTCATCTCTAAAAACTGATTTATTTGATCTTTGTCATCATGACAGTAAATAATATTTTACTAGACATTTTTCAAGACACCTCTATACAGCTTAAAGTGACATTTAAAGGCATTTAAAAGACATTTAAATGTGTGTGTGTGTGTAGTTTTAGGACAACTTTGATGAAAGGTTGTGATTAAATTCAAATGTTGACTACTGTGTGTGTATAGCAATAAGCCTCGGCAACTATAAGTTTTTACCTGTTTCTCAGCTGTAAATATGACAGGAAAAACAATCTGGTGGAGTGATGGGCCAAACTCATCATACCACCTTTCAAAACAGCAGCTCAGTTCAGCAAAGAAGATGCTGAGAAGAAACAAATGTAAACAGCCTTTCCTAAACCTATTGCTGTATTTGACAGCACAAAACTCGCTCTGATGCAGGAGAGAAATTTACCAACGACTGCATTTGTTGCTGAAAGACTTTTTTTTCTGCTGCACATCAAGTAAAGTGAATAAAGATACACTTAACATCATCGATGTCCAAATTCCACAAAACCATCACTATATCCATGGAACACCTACATGCAAACTCTTTTGACAGCGAGTAAATAACTATACTTTTTAATTAAAAGCCCAGACGGCTTGTTAATTTAATACCAGGGAGAACACCTGAAGGACGGTAACGGCGTGTTTTAATGTCGACCATCCAAAAGTCTACGGTAGAAAGTCAACTCTTTATAATATTTTTGGACTTTGCTTGAAAGCTTTATGGAGTGGCACTGTAACTGTGCAAGGTACTTTTGTATGACTTATATAATAACCTATATATGCACCAATAAACAAGTCAAATGAATGAATGAATTAAATAAATATGCATTCTTAAATGTCGGTATTGCTTTTACTCAAAAATATCACTAGGTTTTAACAAATGTTTTATAAAAATAAAATGAGCAATTTTCATCATTTCAGCTACATGATTCAGTTATACACTCGTTTGACAATTATGCATGCAACATGTTTCTGTGTTTTTGTTTTTTTGTTCTCTGGGATCTTTAATATAGTTACGCAAATATTTTCTAAAACGTCAAGCAATAATTTGCCTACAGCTTGTTAGTTACCTAATAAAATGATAAAAATACAGCAGCATTTTGCTAAACATAATAGTCCTTTCTATGCCTTAAATCCTGATATATATGTGTATTGTTTCATATTCATTTTTAATTTCACTTGCTGCATTTGTTATTTAATGTTTGAATACTGAAACAAATAACAGCCATCGCTTAAAGGGTTATATTTTACCATCAAACTGTAGTATATTTCATATCATTATAAACTTTTAATATAAAACCGCTGTGTAATTTAATTGATTGTTAAAAATGAAATAATATAAGTTTATATAAATAATATAATTTAAACCAGGGTTTCTGCACGTTTCGCCAAGTAAAAAGCAAGACTTTTATGACATTTTTAAAACCATTATGAATTAACTTTTAGACTTATAAAGGGCTAAAGGCAAAATCATTTTTCAAATGGCCCAGATGGTAAAGATTTTTATTTGTTCTATCAAAAAATATTATAATTTTATACATTTAATAACACAATAATAAATGAATAATAAAAAAATACAATATTTTATATATTTCTGAGCAAAAGATTTTAAATATTGTGTAAAAACAAGCAAGTTTTACTTATATCCATACACTTTTCCAAACATGAACTTTCTTGGAAAAAATAATAAAAAATGAATAAACGTTTTAAAAGTTTTAAAAGCTATAATAAACTAAATCTATGCACAACAATCTGTCCAGGTCGATGTCCTCAGCAGTAAATACATGGAGCACGTTTAAACAATTGTTATTGTAAGTTAAATAATTAAACCATTATGATAAATAAAGTTAAAATGACCTTTTTGAATTAAAAGTTGAAAGTTTTATTGAGATGGATTGTTGGTGATTGTATGGGTTTTGGCCAGTTTGGGTAGCAAAACATGAACAAATGAAAATGAAGACTTGTTTAAAACAAGATTTAAGACCTACAACGAAACATTTTAGTAAATTTAAGACTTTTTAAGGCCTAAAATTTTTGATTTTGAAATTTAAGACATTTTAAGACCCAGCAGAAACCCTGTGTAAACACAATAGCCCTGGAAATTAGTTATTATAATAAAGATGTAATTCTAACTCAGATAATATATGTGAGAACTAGCAACAACTACTATAAAAAAGTTTAAACCTATAAAGAAGTTGATGAAAAAAAGGAATTGTGATCAACGTGACATATGCAAATGGAAAGTACTAAGCCAACACTATCACTGTAACAGCAGATATCTTCTATGAGAATACTGTAGGTCAAATATTGTCAACTCAGTTAAACTATTTTTTTTAATTTAATGTTTTTATTTATTTTATATAGCGCCAGTGCTCAAGGACGCTTTACAAACAGTAAGAGAACAAGAAAAGCAATAACCTTAAGAAGGTAGATAAA